ACTCCCTGCAGTATCCTATGGGTCCAAGCAATGGGGTGTACCCAGGAGCCTATTATCCTGGGTACCCTGGGCAGTACCTGTGTGGCCCGCTCCCCCCGGCTCCTCTGAGTCCCGAGATGGAGCAGCAGATGCGGAACATGCAGCAGCAGGAGCTCGGCAAGCTCCTCCGTGAGGCTGGGAACCAGGAGCAGCAGCTCAGCAACCTGCTTTCCAGAGACCGCATCAGCCCGGAGGGGCTGGAGAAGATGGCCCAGCTGAGGTTCGTGGCTGTGGTGGGAGCAGGGGGTGTGTGACCTGGCTGTTTCCACGGTGAACTTCCAGGGAGTTGTGTCTCCTGGTGTGCTGGAGGTGTCAGTGTCTCAGAGGCTGGGAGATGGGGTGGTGGCTCACTAGCTGCTGGTGTGCTGGGTCTGTCATGTGCCCACGGTGTGGTGGCATGGGAAGGAAACTGTGGGTGAAGATATGGTTTGTCTGAGCTGGGAGCTACGCCATGGCTTCTTGGTCTAGGAATGCCTTGCCTGTGTCACAGGGACACAGAGGAGCAGGACAAGCACCCACAGCAGCTCTGGGGTTCTTCTTGCTCTCAGTGGAGCTGATCTCTCATGGTTCCAGGGCTCTCATGTGCTTTTGGTACTTACTGGCAGACTTCTGCTTTCTCACCTGCCTGCAGTTATCTACTGTCTGGTTTGCACTGTGGGTTTCAGGGGTGGTGACCATCAGCTTGTGCTTGTAAAGCATCCTGTGGGCTCACGACTCTGTTTGATGATGCCAGGACCTTCTGACCACTGGGGAGCTTTGCTTTTGACAGCACTCAGTGTCGAGACTCGTGGCAGTAGCCTGGTGACACCAGCTGGCGAGAGGGAAGTGATACCAGTGCTCTGCAGGGTAGCTAATGTGGCTGTAGCAAGTTTCTACTTGGCATCTTTCACGTTTACTTGTGATCTGTGTGGCTCCGGGGCTTCTCTGGAGACTTATTTTCCAAGCTGACTGGCAGCAAATCCAGCAGGTGAGCTCATTTCAGGGCTTGTGTGTTCTGGGGACTTGTGCTATAGACCACGAGGTGGGATATGTCTGTGCTTGAATCAGCACTGGAGGTTGTGTGTCTTCCTCAAGGTGTCACAGTCGCCCAGGGCTGTTGTCTGGAGGGAGAGGACAGACTGTGCAGTGCTGCTGTGGCTGTGTGGAGCCCACCCTGCCCTGGGACATCCCCATCAGCAGCGTCCCTCCATCTCCATGTGTCTCCTGCCTGTGTGTGAGAGCTCCCAGCCTGTCTGCAGAGCTGTCTGGGGGCTCTTGGATGCCCACTGTGTATCCGTGGCCATTTGCACCAACTTCTTAATTCCCTAGGTTGGTGTTGGCGTGTCCAGGCATCTTTGTGCAGGGTTTGGGGACTATGTGGGGTAGGGCAGCAGAACCACACTCTGCTTTGCACAGGAGCCCACCAGCATCCTTCTCTTAGTCTGTCAGGTTGTAGCCTGCAACTATTCAGTTAAATTCAGGAGAGGAATTCTGCTCCAGCACCTGGGCAAGGCTGTAGGAATGTGATTTGTGGGACTGAAGCACTATTTCCCTCAGCTGTGATGTTCCCAACTCTCACTCATTTTTGGGGAAGTGGAGTCTGCTTCTGTTGCATATTTTGGTTGGATGGAAGGGAGGTGGGGATCATTCTGATGGCGAGATCTCTCTCATCCTCTGGTTCTTCGTGTGTTTGTTTCTGGCCCACAGCAGGCAGGCTTTGTGCTCCAAAGGAGCAGAGCCTGGCCGTGCACGCTCTCTCTCCCTGTTAGTCTCAGGAGGCACTTGCACCTCGCTGTCCCCGGGCGCAGAACTGTAGCAGAGCTCTTTGCTCTTTGCCAGGCCCTGATCCGTTCTGATACAGGTGTAGAAGCAAGATGGTCCTTTCAGATTGGCCCTCTTGGAGCAGGGAGGGTGTGTGCCTGCAGCAGCTCCCATCTCCCCGTGGGACGCGTGTGGAAGCGGCCGCTGGCAGCCTGGGCCTGCTGGGTGAGGAGCAGTGGGTGGCTCAGGCCCGGGCTGGGCCGTTCCTCTTGCACTGACCCCAGGCTGTGTCCCCCTGTAGGGTGGAGATGCTGCAGCTGTACGAGAGGTGCCTCCTGCTGGACATCGAGTTCGCCGATGCCCAGAACGTGGACCAGCTGCTGTGGAAGAACGCCTTCTACCAGGTGATCGAGAAGTTCCGGCAGCTCCTCAAGGACCCCCAGGGGGAGAACGCCCATGAGATCCGCAACAAGCTGCTCCAGCTGCTGGATGAGGTAACGAGAGAGAAGAACCCCCAGACTCCACTCAGCCTTTGGGTGGGACTTGCTGGTGTTTAGAATGGGATGGTGTAACTGGGCAGCTAGCCTTCTCGATCCTGTTGAGACATCCTTGTGCAAGGAGAATGCTCAGACACAGTACGGTTTAGTGTGGCAGGTGTAGGTCCAGGTGGACATTTGTTATCATTTCAACCAGACTTGGTGTGTTTTATGTGAATTAGATATTGATTTAAGCTAAAATTAACTGGACGCCATGAAGTGAAAATAAACAGAAGCATTTCTAGAGGTGCTGGTGCCATAGGAAATCAGGAAAAATGTCTTCTGCCCACCCAAAAGGGTTGTCCAGGCCTGGCCCAGGCTGGCCAGGGCAGTGGTGGAGTCCCCATCCCTGGAGGGGTTTCCAAGCCATGGAGATGTGGTGTGAGGGACGTGGGTTAGTGAGGATCCAGCAGTACTGTGTTAATGGTTGGACTCAGTGATCTTAAAAGTCTCTTCCAACCAGAACAATTTTGTGATGCTATGATTCTATCCTTACTAAATTTGCTTAGAAGTCATTCTGTTATGTGTGCAGCTCCAATTACTCCTTGTGGAAGGCAGGCTAGCAGATCTGAGAGGATGTGTTTCATAGAATTAGGTTGGTAGGAAGGGATTGCTGGAGGGCTTTAGTCCATCCTCTTGCTCAAAGCAGGACTCTTCAAACACTAGATTGGGTCAGCCTTAGTTTTGTCTAGCTCCATCCTGAAGACTTCAGAGGCTGGAGAACCCTTGACCTCCTTGTTGTTTTCTGAAGAGAAAGAGCCCAAACCTCAGGGAAAAGAGACCTTCTTTCTTACATGTGGCAGGGATGATGTGGTGATTTTGTGATCGTCTTCAGAAAGATTGTAACAGTTTAGCATATGTGTGTTTTGCAGGGCAGTTCTTTTTTTGATGGCCTGCTCCAAAAGCTGCAGGTGTCATACCAGTTCAAGCTGGAGGACTACATGGACGGGATGGCCATCCGCAGTAAGCCCCTGAGGAAAATGGTAGGTTGGCTTCCTCCTGGAGACTTCTTATCCTGTTAATCTGCTGAACTCTCTGTGCTGCACTTGCCAAGAGGTAGGCAGCTGTTGGTTTGTTTGCAGGGAACCTTTCTCAGCTGCTAGAGAGATTGTTGAACCAACTTTGGTGCCTTAATGCTTCTTAGCTTCCTTTGCGAAGAATAACTTCTTTTTGTACCAGTTGTGGAACCAGGACTAATACAAGAAGTGTCTAGGGGTGGTACCATGCCTTTGTCTCTAGATACTGAGCATCTCTCATTTCTGCTAGTGGAATCCAGAATAATGAACAAGGGAAGCTAAAAGTTGTGCTGCCTTCCTGACAATTGAGTGTGTTGCCCTGGGCTGTGGGTGCAGGTGTGACGGACAGCTGGGGAAGGATAGTTTAGTCCAGCTCTGTTCCCAGAGAGATGTTTGCCTAACAGCTGTCCTCAGATTGGTCATGGACTGAACAGCTCTCTTCTGGAGACAGATGGCACGTTGTTGTAAGAGAGGAGGTGTTTAGGGGGTTGGCGTGCCCCTACAAATGCTGCACCAGTGCCACGGAGCCGCCTCACTTCACTCTGCTGCCCTTGCGTGAGACCATCAGCATGTCAGCGACCTCCTCTGAGCTCCCTGCAAGCCCCGGGGCCTGCAGGTGAGCTGGAGGTGAGCTGGGGCTGTTCAGGTCCCACGTGATGGACCGAATGCTTCCTTCCAGGTGAAGTACGCGCTGATCAGCGCTCAGAGGTGCATGATCTGTCAGGGGGACATCTGCCGGTACAGAGAGCAGGCGAACGACACCGCCAACTACGGGAAGGCTCGCAGGTAATGTTCCCCCTCGGGAGGGCACACAGGTAATGTTCTCCCCTCGTGAGGGCACACAGGTATTGTACTCCCCTCCTGAAGGCACACAGGTCTTGTGTTCCCCACTGCAGCACCGAGCGCAGCTCTTCCTCTGTCGACCAGGGAGGTTCCTCGTTTCATGCTTCAACTTGCTTCTAGCCAGAGAATTCTTTCCACACCTCTGTTATATTGCAGTCCTGTGAAGCTGGAAGATGTAGCCTGGACTGTTTTGTTGTTCCAGAGAGCAAGCCAGCAGACCCAGTCAACCTCCAGCCAGCTAGTGTGGAAGTTGTGCTGGGCTGGTCCTGCAGCAGGGGGGGTTTATGCTGTTGAGGCTGGCAGAATAGCTGTTGTATTTTCTGGTAGCTTTTCAGCTAGGAGAGGTTCCCATATGTGTCTGTATCTTCTGACTGCATCAGGAGTTACTGGCATTTGTTCCTTCCTTGTCATTCTTGTTCTAATCTTTTTTTCTGGAGCAAAGACTGGAAGGGGAAGGAGGGAGGGAGCTGTGAAATCTGTGGAGGTTTGGAGAACAGGGCAGGGAAAGCTGCAGATTTTTGGGGTTTCTGAACATTGTGGAGTATGCTTATGTCTCAGGGAGGCTGGGGAAGCACTGTGGGTTCCTGACATGTCTGAAGAGTGTTGATGGACCCATGTGGCATAATGTAAGTGGGAGAGTGGATAAAACAATTGAGAGAAAGTAGAGAGCAGAATGGGATGAGTGGACTGCTGCTGAACAGATGCCTCTTGGGATGATTAAGTATCTTGAAAATATGGGGAGCAAGCTAAGAAACATGGAGGGTTGGTCTCAGCTACCATGAAAGTAAAAAGGGGACTGAGAGATATTAATAAATCATAGGGTTTGGGTTGGGAGGAACCTTTAAAGGCCACCCAGTCCAACCCCCCTGCAGTGAGCAGGGACATCCCCAACTAGAGCAGGTTGCTCAGAGCCCCGGCCAACCTCACCTGGGATGGTTCCAGGGATGGGGCATTGACCACCTCTGGGCAACCTGGGCTAGGGGCTCACCACCCTTAGTGTAAAAATTTTTTTCCTTCTATCCAGTTTAAATCTCTCCTCTGTTAGTTTGAAACCATCACCACATGTCCTGTCACAACAGGGCCTGTTAAGGAGCCTGTCCCCAGCTTCTGACAGGCCCCTTGAAGTGCTGAAAAGCCACAAGAAGGTCTCCATGGAGCCTTCTCTTCTCCAGGATGAAAATGTTCCCTGAAGAGCCTGTTCTTTGTGCCTGAGGCTGCTCAGGGGACAGTGCCTGCTGAGTCTGGCTAAATGCTCATCATCAGGCTGAGCCAAGAACATTTCCTTCTGCAGCTGTACCTGCCCCTCTCTCTCTTGTCCCCTGCTCCTCTCCAGGCTGGGCGCAGGCTCGCTGCCTGGGCACGCTCTTGCAGGCAGAGGGCACTTGTGCAAAGGGCCAGTTCCCTGCAGGGCAGCCAGCCCTGTGCCCTGAACTGCAAGGAAGGAAACCTGATGTCCTTTCAGTAAACCTTTGTCTCTGGTTCTTCCCTTCCTCAGCTGGTACCTGAAGGCTCAGCAAATAGCTCCCAAAAACGGCCGCCCCTACAACCAGCTGGCACTGCTGGCCATCTACACGGTAAGATGCTGCTCATGCAGGGGTGTGGGGAGAGCCTCTGAGATTCATCTGGTGGAGAAAGGCATTGTTTAGGGCAATGCTCACAGATGTTGTTTTTTAAAATCAAAAAGCTGATGGCATAATGTGCTGTGTGGATTCCAGCTGCTGTGGCTTCAGGCAGCTTTGTTAGATACACACTGCTTCCTCAGGCTGTCAGCATTTTGGGCACTGTTCTGTGGGCTGTTGAGAGTGCAGATGCTTTAAAAGTGGGTTGCTTTTAAAATTTTGCATGAGGTTTTTGTTCTCAAGGCCATGCTGTCACGAGGATGCAGTTTCTGTTTGCCATGTCTTCACTGCACCAGTGGGCACTGGTCTGAGCAGCATCCACACGTGCCTTTCTTAGGTTTCAGTTTTGATGAAGCCATGCAGGAAAACTTAATTCAAGGAAGATGTGACAGCAGATTTTGGAGGCATCAGGCTGGGACACTGGTCAGTAGGCTTCTGCCCACTCACCATGCTGAAAGATGCTGGCTGAAAGTAGAACTGCAGATTTCAGCTGGATGCTTCCTTCATAGCTGGGAATGACCTTTCTGACTCGCAGCAGCAGCAAAGTGTCCCACCCTTTGTGGTGGTTTTAAAGGCCAGCAGCAAAATGTGAGCAAAGCCCTAAATGACTGTGTGTCTTGGTAGCATAAAGACTTGGGGAGTGCCTTCTCACAGTGGCCAGGCTGTGGGAGAAAAGCTGCTGAGAAGCTGCTTGAATGTGAGGGGATTAGCCCAGCAGCAGGCTGCAATAAGAGGACACCCTGCCCCACCACTGGCAGGAGTCTGGCAAACCCTCCAGTCTGCTGGGCCTCTTTTTTTGTTAAAAAATGAGGTTTTATTTTGTAAAACTTGTGTGGAGTTAGTTCTGTATTCATAGTAATGTTGAAAGGAGTGATTTCCTGCATGGTCAGGAATTCACTGTTTGTACTTTTGCCCTTTACTGTGATGTCTCATGAGAGACTGTTTTGTGTGAGCCTCTGGGTTGATGGCTTCTGTAGACCCTGTGAACGTGGATGGAGAATTCAATGTCCTACTTGTTGTAGTGTTGGTCAGCATGCCTGTTGGTTCTAGGCAGTATTGAGGCATAGGGAAGACAAAGTATGTGGAAGCTTGGCCCTGGATGCCCCAGAGTGAGTGGCAGCTCGTGAGTCTGGTTGTGTTTTTTGCAGAGGAGAAAGCTGGATGCTGTCTACTATTACATGCGCAGCCTGGCTGCCAGCAACCCCATCCTCACAGCCAAGGAGAGCCTCATGAGCCTCTTTGAGGAGACCAAACGCAAGGTGAGTTTTGGAGCTGGGCTCTGGGGTGCTGCAGCTGCCTGTCCTGACTGTCCTGTGCTGGAGAGCTGTGATCCAGAGAGGAGGGTGATGGTGGCTTTTGGAGTCACCACTTACCTACTTGGAATAAACTCCACGCTGGGAGTCAGATGAGAGAGGGGAGGTGTCCTTTCTGCCTCCCCTCAGACTGCTCTTGGGGCTGTTGGGCAGCTGAATCTCTTGGGTTTGGGTCACAAACTGCAAAACAGCCAAGCTCAGCAAGGGCTGGAGGTTGCTGTGGTTTGCAGCATGATCCCTGCTTTATCCCAGAGGTGCCCCACACTGCTGGGGCTGGGCAAGAAAGGCTGTGAGCCCTTTGTGCCCTGGGGGTCACCCCAATCAAAGGTACAGCACGCTGGCTGTCACACACTCCTGGACTGGGTGCAGCCTGGCTTTTCCCGGGGCAGCTGGAGTTGAAAACCTCTCCCCTGCATTGTCCTGTAGTGTCAGAAACCAAACTCTGGGCCTGTTCATGAGTTATTGTGCTTCTGAAGCAGGGAGAAGGGTCAATATTTCTGCGAAAGTGAAACAGCTTTCCCTGACCTTTTTTCCGTGGGTGATCCAAATCTGTCCTGTCCGCCCAGGCTGAGCAGATGGAGCAGAGGAAACACCAGGTGCTGGAGCTGAGCCCCAGCCGCCGAGGGAGGAGCAAGAAGCCCCCGCTGCGCCAGGCTGGGGACGATGCCACGCGGCTGGAGATCTGGATCCATCCCTCCCACCCCCGCCCCGCCCCGGGCCACGAGTCCGGCCGGGACTCCGAGCAGGACAACGGGCTTGGGAACCTCAGCCCCAGCGACGTGAGTGCTGCAGGAGGCAGCAGTTGGCTTGGCTGTCATGGGTTTGGAATGCAGCAGAACGACACTGCATCTGTTTTGCTTTCCTGTTGCTAAATTTTCCAGTGTTTTGGCTTCCCCTGTGGGAGCTGTGCCTGGGTCAGGCTGAGGAGCTGGTGACCTCGTGCCTCTCATGTTTAAGGCATGTTGTTACCATCCCTTTCTTGGCAGCATGTGCTGGCGTGGCTGATATGAAATAGGAGAGTGCTGTAAAATGCCTCTGCTGAGGGCTTCAACTTGGGTGAGGTTGCTGGTGGAAAATGAGGTCAGATGCTGAAGACCAGGGGTAACAGTGGCCCTCTGAGTTCTGAGGCTTGGTCTGGAAGTGGGTCACTTGCCTTGGTGCCAGATGATCAGAGGTTTGCACTGGGAATTGGAAGACTGGGCTTATTTTCCAGTGTAGGTGTTGTCCTTGCATTACTTGTTCTGCTGAGCACCCAGACTAGTGCCCTTTTTCTGGTAAGGTTAAAAAAAAAATAGATTACCAGTGTCTCTTGTCAGTCTTGTACCTTGCAAGAGGAGCCCGAGTGAAGTCTGTTTGTCAGGCAGAGGGATGTGGGCGAGGGCAGTGGTGGTTGGGAGCTCATCCTCCAGGAATCCTTGCACTGCTCTGGCACACACGGCTCATGAGAGGACTTGCCAGGGAGCTCTGGGCTGCCTGACCTAAAATGGCTGTTGAGGATGTGAGTTGAGCAGAGCTGGGAAGACCTTCTCCACACACTGCGGGGCCCAGGGCATCTCAGATACAACTGTACTTCTGTAACTAGTTTGTGACTTCAGCTGGGTGTAACTGGGGTGAAGTCTTGGAGCTCTGAAAGATAAGCTCTGGCACAGAGCTGCAGCATTTTTAAGATGTTACTGTCCTTGGTTGTTTTCCCTCTCCTCAGCTTCTCTTCTGGAGACCTTTGATGCTTCCTCAGCATCACTGAGGGGAACATGATGAGCTTTAGCCTCTCCATAAATCATTGATGAATATTCTTTGACATAAGGTGCTGTGAGTGTTTTGGAGGCACGAGGGGTGTCTCTTTAGCAGCACTCCCATGAGAGGCAGTGTAATGAGGAGGAAAGGGGGGGCAGCAGCATCTCCTTGTCTGTGGAGCAGCCCTGTTTGCTGGAGCTTGCCCATGGTCTGCTGGGGGGGCTGTGCTCACTGAAGCACAGGTTGCTGGCAATGCCTGTGCAAATTGTGTGTCTGATTACTACCATCAGTCTTGATTTTTTCATCTGTTTGAAATACTGGCTCATGCTAGGCAGCAGGTTGGAAGGGACCTCTGGAGATCATCTCGACCAACCCACCTCCTCCAGCAGGGTCACCCAGAGCAGGCTGGCAAGGATAGTGTCCAGGCAGATATGGAATCTCTCCAGAGGAGACTCCACAACCTCTTTGGGCAGCCTGCTCCAGGCTCTGCCACCCTCACACCAAAGAAGTTTCTCCTCCTGTTCAGATGGAACCTCCTGGATTCCAGTTTGTGCCCATTGACCCTTGTCCTGTCACTGGGCACCCTAATAAGAGTCTGGCCCCAGCCTCTTGCCCCCTACTCTTTAGCTGTTGATGGGCATTGATGAGGTCCCCTCTCAGTGTTCTCTTCTCCAGGCTGAACAGTCCCAGGTCTCTCAACCATTCCTCGTAAGAGAGATGCTCCAGTCCCCTCAGCATCTTTGTGTCCTATTCTGGACTCTCTCCCATAGTTCCCATCTCTCTTGAACCAGGGAGCCCAGAACTGGACACACTACTCCAGATGTGGCCTCACTAGGGCAGAGTAGAGGGGGAGGAGAACCTCCCTCACCCTGCTGGCCACACTTCTCTTGATGTACCCCAGAGTGCAGGGGGAGCTGAGGGCCTGGGTTTGGGCACTGCTAGCTTTGGCAGCCAAGCTCTTTGTACTGGGGCTGCCCGTGTCTGCTGCAGTGCAGCACTCCACTTGTGCTGGCACAGCTGCTTGTGGGGCTGTGCCGTGGCTGTGTCACCAGGCTGGTCTGGGTTGAAAATAACCAGGTGAAAAGGAAGCTTGAAGTCTGTGTCCCTACCAGAGCTCCGGAGCTGCGGGCTGGGTAACGCCAGCAGCTGCTCAGGAAGCTCTGGACTCCTTGCTCCTCAGAGCTGTAGCCTCTTCCCCCCTTCCTCACGGCAGCTCCGGATGGTTTGCAGCTCCTTCTCTGGGAGGGAGCGGAGCAGTGCGGGTGTTGCCACGGTGTGGCACTGTTTGGCCTCGGAAGGGGCCCTGCTTGCACCAGGAGCATCTGGCCCTGGCAGCACCTCTGCCCCACATCCCCCGGCCCGGCGGAAGGGGACAGCTCTTCTCCCAGGGGATGTGTGCCAGGCCTTACATGTCATTTGGAGGAAATGAGTCTAAATGTGTCATTGCCTCCGTGATCCTTCCTTGCCAGCTTTATTCCTTGCAAAGGCCGAGGCAAGCCCTGTTCTTTTGTTTGTGCAGACAGCTGAGCTCTGCAGGTAGCTCCTCAGGCATCAGACTCCATGGCAGCTGTTTCTGGGCTGGAGAAGGGAATTTTACAGGGCAGAATGGCAAGTCTTTCAGCTGCCAGAGGCAGAGGCTTTCAGCTTCCAACTCGACTGCAGTTGTAGACCATGACAGCTCTGAATGTGTACTGGGCAGGAGTGTGGGAGAGAGGCTTTTTGCACCCTTCATCCAGAGGCTGTTGCTTCAAACCCAGCCCAGGCTAAAGGTGATGGGTGTATTTACCATGGAGACACTGTGTCACAGGTGACAAGAAATCAGTTTGGGATGTTTTTTTGACCTGTTGCTTTCTTTATTGTGCAGGTGTTAGGTGCCAGTTGTCACACTTGGCAGGGAGGTGCTGAAAGGTTCTCTCCCAGGAGCTGCTGATCTGTGCTGTCCTGTCAGCAAGCAGAGACTGCCCAGCACATTCTCACACATCTCTTCTAAGTGCTGACTTGATTTTTCCTTACGCAGCCCTGTACAACAACAAACATCATTACCTGATTTTGGGGTTAGGAGCCAAGTGAATGGAGTCTTCCCAGTCTGTGGAAGTCCAGCTCACACCACAGCCATTGCTGTGACAAGGGGAGGGGATGGAAGGTGATGTGCAGAGCTGGCAGCTTGCCTTGGCACTGTGTGTGTAGGTAGGGGCTTGGCACAGCTGCTTCTTTCACAGTTTGCTACATCATCTTTTCTAGGAAGATGCAGAACTGGAAGAACATACCATCTGTCCACCCTGATGTTTGCCCCTTCCTCAGTAACTGGGTGTGGCACTGCTGGCATGGTGGGAGTGGGGTGGTTTCAGAGTAAGCTGAAGGAGTGTTTGGGTTGCAGCCTGGCTGGTTTGGGTTTTGACCGTTATGCCTGCAGCCTTTTGGGGTTTCATTCTGTGAGTGGCTGTTCTCTGTGGTCTCATACGTTGCATGTTTCTAGGAGGGCAGTGGCAGGAGAGCCCAGGCTGCCCCAGTGCCCTGCTTACCCAACAATATCAGGTCACTTCATGTGGGATTCCAATTCCAAATGCAAAAAAAAGAGAGTGAACCAAGGAGCAGCTGGGTTGCTTTTTTAAAAAATATCTGGACAGGGAAAAGTGAGCTGAAGAGCTGATTCTTCTCCCATTTCTTCTGTGGCTGATTTCATTTGCCATGGGTCTATATTGATCTCAAATCTGATAGTACCGTATGCAGCTTACTGTGCAGACTGTGAATTGCTAAAGTAAATAGGGCAAATGTGTTGTCAGTCTCTTGAGAAAGTGTTAATATTACTCTGAGTTTGAGATTTTAATCACTTCTGTCAGGAAATGCTGAGTTAAGGTTCCCACAGTTGCTGCTGCCTGTGCTCTGCAGTAGACACTTCCGTGTGTGATCACAGAGCGTGTGTGCACTAATAAAGATTACTCCATGGCTGCAGCTAAGATTAGGGAAGAGAGGTTTTCCCTTGGTGGGACAGTAATTGAATAATGCTTCTCTCCAGATGTCTGAATACTTCAGCATCATTAAAGAATTAAGTCTCCTAGCTTCTTTGTGAGAGGTCAGTCTTGCAGAGCCATCAAAAGCTTGGTAGGGCCACCCAAAAAGCTCTTAGGGAAGTGAAGGCCCGAGTCAGGATCTGCTGTCTCAGCTTTGTGTGTCAGCTGCAGGAACCTTCCCGTTTCCCCCAACCTGCTGGTTAGGGACAGAGATGTTGTGTTGGCCTGGTGCTGGATGCTCCTGGAGCAACAACCTCTTTACAGTAGCAGAGGAATTGTGTTGGAGTTGATAGCTCTGAAGTTGAGAGTGTGTTTTAATCTCAGTTTCTTTACACAGGCTTTCTCCTCTGCAGCAGGGAGCATGGCCAGTGCAGCTGGGTTTCCACCAGTGAGCAGTAAATACTACTACAGGAGGTCTACAAAAAGGAAAAAAAAAAGGGGTCAAAGTTCTCCCAATAGGTGAATATAGAGGATTTATCTTGTTTCTTCTTCATTACCTACTGTACTCACCTTGTCAGCTGATGGTTCTTGCAGTTGTCACCCTGTGGCAGTCCCGGGAGGCAGATCAGGAATGTTGGAGCTGTAAGCTGTGTGTCTTCAGGTGATTGCATTTTCCTTCTGATGAGCAGTGCTACTCACTTTTGGACCCCTTCATCTCCTTCCATCTCCCAAGTCCTAGAAAATGAGTGAATGCCCAGCACACAGGGCAATGGTCCTCTGCAGCTGGATGAGGGCATCAGCTTCTCAAAGCAGCTGTGGAAGCTGTGCCCCACGTTTTCCCCTCTAGGTCAGGACTCAGCTAATGGGGAACTTACCCAGCAATGCCTGTCTGGGTCTGTCTTCACAACTTCAAGTGATTTATTTCTTTCTAAGATGAGACATCTCTATGGCTTCTCTATCTTCTGTCTTTTTCAGTTCTTCTTGCCTGCTTGGTTTTACTTCTGACTCTGCCTGCCTCACCTGTGCACCAAGATGCTGAGTCCGCTTACAATTCTGCAGCCCAAGGCTGGAGAAGGCACTTTTGGGGATGCCTG